TTTTTCAACACACTGCTATTATTTTGAACACAACTGTGTGTATGTATATATATATATAGTGAAGGAAATAAGTATTTGATCCCCTGCTGATTTTGAATGTTTGCCCACTAACAAAGAAATGATCAGTCTACAAATCGACTGGTAGGTGTATTGTAACACTGAGACAGAATAGCAACAAAAAATTCAAAAGAAATGCATGTCTAACAAATTATGCCCTGATTTGCATGTTCATGAGGGAAATAAGTATTTGATCCCCTTCACAAAACATGACTTAGTACTTGGTGGCAAATCCCTTGTTGGCAATCACAGAGGTCAGACGTTTCATCTGACCACAACACTTTCAACCAGTCCTCCTCTCTGCATCATTCAGATGTTCAGTGGAAAACTTCAGACGGGCCTGTACATGTGCTTTCTTGAGCAGAGGGACCTTGCGGGCACTGCACGATTTCAATCCTTGTCGGCGTAGTGTGTTACCAATTGTTTTCTTGGTGACTGTGGTCCCAGCTGCCTGGAGATCATTGACAAGATCCTCACGTGTAGTTCTGGGATGATTCCTCACTGTTCTCATGATCATTGACACTCCATGAGGTGATATCTTGCATGGTGCACCAGACCTAGGGAGACTGACAGTTGTTTTGGGTTTCTTCCATTTGTGAATGGTTGCCCCAACTGTTGTCACCTTCTCACCAAGTTGCTTGGCGATAGTTTGGTAGCCCAGTCCAACCTTGTATAGGTCTACAATCTTGTGCCTGACATCCTTGGACAGCTCTTTTGTCTTTGCCATGGTGGAGAGTTTGGAATCTGATTGTTTGATTGCTCCTGTGGACAGGTGTCTTTTATACAGATAACAAAATGAAATTAGCAGCACTCCCTTTAAGAGACTGCTTCTAATCTCAGCTTGTTACCTGTATGAAAGACACCTGGTAGCCAGCAATCCTGCTGAATGATAGGGGATCAAATACTTATTTCCCTCATGAACATGCAAATCGGTGCATAATTTGTTAGACATGCATTTCTTTTGAATTTTTTGTTGCTATTCTGTCTCTCAGTATTACAATACACCTACCATTCGATTTTTAGACTGATCAATTCTTTGTGAGTGGGCAAACATTCAAAATCAGCAGGGGATCAAATACTTATTTCCTTCAATATATATATATATATATATATATATATACTATATATATATATACAAGAAATGCATATGAGGTGGTGAGATTCTTCTTAGAAGTAGGTTGTGTAGCAATGGCATAGATGGGTAAGAACACAAGCTGAAATAAGAAATGCCTACAAAATTATTGTACTTTAATTGCAGCTAAGGCATAGCAAAGGGAAATCGGGTAAGGGAGTTTACTGAGATGAATTGGGGTCAAAATATACTGTAAATGTTTAACATTTTTTAAATCAGTGGGATTGTTGAAATAAGAAGCTGGTGGAAATCTGGGATGAAAGAATGATAGTATGCTTTTCTCACTTATGTCCATGCCACTCTAGCAGAGAGCCTAAATACCCCTCTGGACAATTATGGTTCCTTTTTTTCTTGGAACACTAATAAATCCTATTTCAGATAATATAAGATAAAGGACAAGGAAGCCATATTTGCTTCTTACACTTACATGCTGTGTGTTGCTTAAAGTTGTTTTAAGTTAGCTATTTTATACATTTAGGTTTATTTACTAAAGGTAAATATGATGTACACTTTGCACGGAAATTTTTTATGTGCAAGGGAGTTTTCCTTTAGCTTAAAGTGATGTAAAAATAATACCCAATCATCTGCCAGGAAAATAAAAACAGTATTTATGTTTGCACATGATTGGATGATGGAAATCAACAAAACTTCACGTCATGCACTAAGCTAAGGGAAAATTCCCTTGCAAACTGTACAGCCTTTTTGCTTTTGTAAAGGAACCCTTAGAGTAAAAGCTCCTATATACCACATTTAAGGAGCATGCAGAGCATAATAGAGTTCATATAAAATTGTGATGCAGTTATTGTTTTGAAATGAAAAGTCAGGTCAGACTTATGGCCAAAATATCTCTAATTGGCTTTGTTTTAAATCGCTATGTCTTAGCAGTTTTTTAACCTGCGGGTAAAATCTCAAATTCCTAAATGAATTAACTGCTTAAGAATATTGACCAACCTGCAAAAAAAAATACAAAAATCATATGGAAATACAAATCTAAAATAGTAAAGAAAGAGTGGTTTACCAATGGGGAGTGTAAGCCACAAACCGTTGATAAATAAAATCTATCTAACTATATATATATTATATATATATATATATATATATATATATATATACATACATACATATAATTTATGAAGGGTCATGCATCTTGCATTACTTAGGAATTGCTCAAATATATGTGTAAATTAACATAAAATTCTTCTATTAGGCAGCAGGCACATAGATTTTTCACCTTAATGGTTTGTCTTAGGCATTGATTTTTCTCATTTATTTTTGAAAGCTTGAATAATATTTATGAGAATAACAGTGATTTATTTCTTTTGAAATCTGTTATGATTTTGATGATTTATATTTACATAATTACTGTTACATTTATGATGTGAATAATCACATCTTTAGAAATCAAATTCATGTTTAACATGTATGTTTTTTTGCCATATATTTACAACATACTGTAAGTATATGATGTAAATACTGTATATTTTAGTTTAGGCTTATGTGTCATCAACTACTTCTGTTTTAATTGTATCCAAGATGTAGGCAATATACGTGCAGAATTCTATAATTACAGAAATCACGCTAGTAGGTCAGAGAAAGCAGCTGGCAGAAACAATTAGATAAATTGTGTACAACTTAGTATACGTAAATTGCTGCGCTAAATCAAATTACATAAAGTGCCATGAACTCAATCCTGTATAAATAACACAATATAGCTAAGGAAAAAAACAGTGCATTTATAAATAAATATATATATATATGTAAAAAATATGAAAAAATTGAAGTCCAAGTGATATTGTGCTATGTAATAAAAAAAAGTCCTCGTGCATCTGCATATGTTCAGAAAAGGATCAGTGAACTCTTTTGGGCAGAAAAAGGCATTAATTTAAATAATCTGAAATGAATCTCGCAACTCCACAGCATCTCCAAGTAAGGCCATCAGAAGTGAACATCCTGTTTCAAATCTCCTCCAAACCTCTCCTCAATATCAATAGAATATTACATCCTATAGAAATGTCATGAACAATACACTGTCGAAAGGAAAGAGTCCATATGCTCTGGTAAGACTCCTTGAAATCTATAGTGGCCATGCACAGGGCTGCTGTTAGAAAACACGGGGCCCCATACATACAACCTGACAGCCTAAAAAAGAGAAAAAAAATACAGTTTACAATGCATCAGTTATGAATAAAACACAGTGAGTGATCAGTATCCATCACTCACTGTGTTCATTCAAGAAAGGAAGAGGCTGGTAAATGTGACTTATATACAGGACCCTTCCCCCACTCTCCATTCTGAGGAATCCTATTGTGTGCTTTCAGCTGCTGGTGGGAAGGAGAGGAGGGGGGCCGGTAGCACTGGGGGGGGCATTGGCAGCAGAGGGAAATGTATGGTACACGGGGAGGGTCATGGGTGTGGTGGGTAGGCAATTACCAATCCCCTGTATGGCTCTCTCTCTGCAGCAGCTGAAAGTTGGCTTCTTCTCTTGCTTTCAGCTGCTGCAGAGAGAACCATACAGGGGATCGGATCCAGTAATTGCCCCCTGCTGTGCCGATCACCCCCCCTGTCTACATTTGATTCACCCAGCTGCCTGGGCCTCCCTGCTGACCTGGGCCCCATACAGGAGGACTGGTGGTACCCCCTTATCCACAGCCCTGGCCATGCACAGTGGTGTTTGGAAGATGTGCAGATGCACAAGGACTTTTTTTTTTCAATTATGTTGCACAATATCACTGCGACTTTAATTTTTTTATATAATTTTTTTTACATATATATTTATATATGCATTATTTTTTCCTTGGCTATATTGCGCTATTTACACAGGATTGGGTTCATGTCACTTGATGTAATTTGATTTAGCGCGGCAATTTATCTATACCTGCAGGATACTGGTATTGTGAATGTACTGTATGAGGAAAGTTTTCCATGGTTATCTATACCATCTGTGGTCTAGATCGTTCATACAACACTGTTTTACAAGGGCACCCCTGAATTTGGATTATCACAATAACCTATTTACTGCCAGACCACTATTTCCTTTTTTTTTCTTACACACATTCTAAAATGCAAGTTTCTTACATAAAATATACCTAGAACCCCCAAAATAATTTATATATTTTCTGAAAATAAAGGACCTGTAGAATAAAATGATGGTAGTTGCAATTTTTTTTATGTGGAATCGTATTTTGCACAACGGCTTATCAAATCTATATTTTCATAAAAAATATACATTCTAATTTAATGCACACAAACAAAATATACTGTAATCTCCAAATGTTTTGTTTTCACAAACAGACAGGGGTTTGTGGAGAGAGGCAGACAGCACTGGCAGGGACAGTTTTATGTTATTTCAATTTAGATGCTCATCACGGTTTTAAAAATATACACAATATTATCACAGTGAATATATTTTAATATAAATATTATATACATGTGTTACTGTGAGCTGCTAAACCCTAAACAGGCCTATTTTTAAGATGAATATAAATGCTTCAGAAAATGCACATTTTGCTCTGTGCCATTAATGAGTCATCATTGGTGCTAGTTCATTAATTTTAATAGTGCTCACTGGGCTTTGTAAATTCCAATGATATGCACAAGTGTAGTCTCTTTTTTTAATGTATCTGAACAGCCTTTTATTTCCTGTGCTAGATATTATAATGATATAATTCAAACAAATTAGCATTACTTCAATACCTTTAACAACTATGTATTGTGTAGTCAAATTCATATGATTATGGAGCTCCCCTGTGGCCTACAGCACATGTATATTATGAGGAATATATATTTCTGTAAAATCTTCAGCAATAATTACCTGCTTATTTGCTCTAGCAAACTCCAAGCCAACTCCTTCTACCCTCTTCCCTATGTAACCAATAGGACATGGATCACAGTGGAATCCAGGAGATGTGTTGACACAGCGGACACGGGGAAAGCATGGATTCACAGAGCACTGGAAAGACAAAGCAAATATTGGTGCAAGTATAAGGAAAAGTTTACCTTCACATCTACTAAAGATAGTTTTTAAATAATTAAAGCCCAGTTGAAGTTTTGTTATAAAGGCTAAAATCCGTGTGCAGAAAATGCTGTAAATGCCTTGCCTTTATAATTCTGCTCCCTTTTGATTGAAGCCTGCAGTTGTAAATTATATTGCTCAAACACGTGTGTACGATTTGTCAGCAGTTTGTCCAAACAGGCCAAAAATCAGCAAATCCTAAACCCGAATCCAGGGGCGGACTGACCATTTGGGAACTAGGGCACTGCCTGAGGGCTCGGGTTCAGTAGGGGGCCCCATGAGATGCCCCTGGTACCTTTTCATAGCCTTTTTTTTTGGGTGTGGTTTGAGTGTGGGTGAGGACACAGGGGCCCCATGAGTTGTCAGTCCTCCCCTGCCCGAATCTAAACACTATTGACATCAACGATGACTGAATTTGGGAGGGCTGTTCTGTTTCTGTTCTGTTCTGGGGGCCCCATGGTTGAGGGCTTGTTCTGAATTTCTGTTCTGTTCTGTTCTGGGGGCCCCATGAGTTGTCAGTCCGCCCCTGCCCGAATCTAAACACTTGACATCAATGGTGACTGAATTTGGGAGGGCTGTTCTGTTCTGGGGGCCCCATGAGTTGTCAGTCCGCCCCTGCCTGAATCTAAACACTATTGATATCAACGGTGACTGAATTTGGGAGGGCTGTTCTGTTCTGGAAGACTGCCACAACCCTGTATGGGGGCTTCCACAGGATCTGTGGTGATCCTGAGGATCACCAAAGTACTTCCTGTCCAGCCACCATTTTGCCATCAACCATAATTATGCGATCTGGTTCCTTCATAATGTTCCTAAGCTTAGGGATGGGCCTTCAGAGGAAAATAACGCCATAATAATAAATTAAAAACCTGTGCCGTGCAATATTTCTATATGTTATAATAAAAAAATGATACCAATAAACATAAATCATACTGCAAATCACCCCTTGTGCAAAGTAGCCATGTGCCCATAAAAGTAAAAGTTACGTGATCGAGTGACGTAACTTGTAGGAAGAAGCTCATGGCATCACACAGAAACCGGAGGTGAGTGGAACGGCATCTTGGAGAGGTAGCAACAGGTTGTAATCTTAAACACATGCTGAGTTCTCTGGCGTTCCCAATATTAGTGCACAAGTCTATGTGAGAAGTACATATTAAACAAAAATAAAGGTGGGAATATAGTGAACACTTTTAGTATAATTTTTTTGGGGGTGAACGGGGGATGGAGGCGGACTGGGTTTCTAGAGTTGATGGAGATACCAGTTGGGACATACAGACCCCATTTAAAGAGGAAAGAGCAATAGACCCGATTGAGTTTGGGCTAAATAAATTAGGTGAGTGCAGAATTGTGGTGGTGATGGGATTGCACCGTGTATAGGCACACAAATTGCATGCAAATTGAGCATCACATTGTGACTTCACCCCAGAGAAGAACTGAACAGTAAACGTGAATATGAATTGTGATTTATGGCCACATTATATACTTTACACAAGGGGTGATTTGCAGTGTGATTTATGTTTATTGGTAGCATTTTTGTATTCTAAAATATAAATATACTGCACGGCACTGTTTTTGAATTTATATTTACTGTAGTAGACTGTGAGAACACTTACGGGGGTTATTTACTAAAACTGAATTGTGCATAGAAACCAAGCAACTTCCAGGTTTTATTGCCAAAGCCTAACTAAACAATCCGAAGTTAGGAGCAGATAGGCTACCATGCACAGCTGCACCAGATTCTGAGTACTCCAGTATTAGTAAATCCCCTCTATAGTGTCAGCCACAATACACATACTCCTTAAAGGAGGTTAATGGGATAAGTATTTGTGCTGGAGTATTTTCTGCTTATTTTTCACTAAAGCCATAACTGGCCACCTATTTGACAGCTAAGCCACTGATTGACCAGGATTCCCTGGACAACCAGTGATCTAGGCAGGCTATCATAGGCTTTGTTTACATCTGAAGGTCCACCCCTAGGGTGAGAAGGGAGGTAGGGACTTGATACTGATTTTCCTGACTGCAGCTGTTCCAAAAGCAGTACTATTATCACGATAAGCCATTGCCTGCTGATATGCACAGGTCATTCTCCCATTGCAAAATTACAGATTGCTGGCTGCAGTAATATGACCAGGAATTCCTAGTGATATCAATAACCAGATTTGGTCAGTGATGTTACTTGGGATCCCTTGCAGTAATTTTAAATGACCACAGCTGTGAATCTGTCATTTAGTGATGGGAGAGCAGCATGTACATTGTGATTGGTATCAATTAGATTGCTAGAAAACGTGATTAATGTGTAGATTGCTGGATGCCATGATTGACGCTAGATCTCCTTCTGGTTACATGAACAAGCTTTATTTTAAATGCCGGTAAATAGGCGTTTGTGTGTTCCTGAAAGGACTTTTAATTCACATTCATGGCATTTTTTTTATTTTTGCTTTTTACCTTTTACATGGGAATGGGTAGGGGTCACTAATGCATGCCTTTGCTCTCTCCACTGTTAGGAGGTGGAAAAAAATGGTCACTCTATTACTATAAAGGGGGCTTCTAGATTCAACCATAGCCCCCTGAAAAGCATATGACTTGGTATGGTACAGAAAAGGGGAAATGCATGCTTACATTCAGAATGAAGGTGGAGACTCTTTTTACGTAGCCCACAAACATGTAGTTCTTCTACTGTTTAGGTCTTTCTCTCTTCACGGAGCTTTGTAATGATGTACCATTTGATTTAAAAGATAAGTTCCCCATTTATAACATGCTGCATGTAACATGTTAAAGTTGCAGCACCCCCTGCAACCCCAGATCCCCCGTTGTGACAGCAGGTCAGGGATCCTCTCCTTGTACCTGCTCACAATTTTAAAAAAGTCTGGCCATGCAGAGCTCTGTCCACTCGGCCATGTCATTCATTCACAAAGTTCTGTGAATGGGAGAACTCCAAGTTCCGACAGCCTTGGCAACTGGCTGCTTGTAGTTCTCAATGAACTACCGCGGCACTGGTGAGTGCTCCAAGTAGTTAATTGATGCTTCCTGTCATTCAGTAACTGCCTGCCTGTACAAGGTATGAGCAGACAGATACACTGACAGTCTGCAGGAGCCTGCGATTGCACCCGTGATCTGCTGATCATAGGTGAAATGTTTTGCAAGCAGCTAGCAAAAAAAATAATTCACATTTTTTTACCTGCAGATAGATGTGCACTTATTACTTTTTTTTTTTTTTTTTAACAAAGGTAAACTTATCCTTTAAAAGAATTGTGTATTCAGGTAGTAAGAAGAGAATGACAACATTATGTGCTGTATGTCTTATTGCTTATCATATGAAATTAATCTTTATTGTCACTTGATACCTCTCTTTTTCCTTGTGACATATCTCAGAAAACAGTAACCTAATCATTTTAGCTGCTGCCTTTGTAGAAAAAAAAAAAAAAAAGCATAAACAATTTAAAAAAAAAATATTTGGTGTACATGTACACAGGGCCGGTGCTACACTAATTTGTGCACTAGGCAGGACCAGTAGAAAATATTAAATGAACAAAACATGAAATTGCTTTTAATTTGCAAAAATAAGTACCATAAGATGCCACCAGCACCAATATTAAAGAGAAAATCAGTGTCAAGGACAGACTGTATCTGTGGCTGGCAGGGACAGAGTGACAGCTGCAGTGAGTGGAGGATGATGGATCCACACTCTGACAGATTCCAGGCTGGAATTCCCCAGGCAATGGGGGGAGATAAAACGCTGTGACAGCAGGCAGCCCAGTCCAGCCAACACACAGAGAGAACACCTAAACTGAGCGATTCCACACAGTGACAGATCCAATACAACACACCACCAACACTGACTAGACGAGCAGGCCATGGGATCGTGATGATGTCATCACTCACTGCCTCATTGTACTTGTGATGGATGGCCAGCCAGCTGGATCACACTCACTCAGACACAGAGTCAGACATTACCTTCCTCCACTAATGAATGGGAAGAGAAGGGCTCCACAGTGATCAGCAGCCACCAGCTGGCTTACAGTAATGGAGCGAGTATGATAGGAGCACTGGAAGGAGTGGCAGATCAGCTACACTGGTCCCAAACTGATGTGCTTGTACCAATGACCTTAGTGAACCTCAACCATCTGTAGTTTTTAACTCTGGGTATTTATTTTGTACTTGAACTTAGCTATTGTATATCAAACAAAATATTATTATGTAACAACCTACTGAATTTTTTTTTTGAATGTGACTTTTGGATTAATTGATAGATAATATTGGTTGTTTGTGATCATTCCATTACAACACCAATCATGTTCCCATGAAGACTATTTGTAATACATTTTGTTCATTTCAAGGGTAATATCCTAGGACTTTGTAGATGTTTGTGATTTATGTTTGTGTGAAGAATACATTTTGTGTGATTTTTTGAGATTTTATATTACTGTGTTACATTTAAAGTGTTACCAAACCCACAACAGTAAAATCAGCCAGTATATGCAGTAAAGCATGCCTGTTATACTCAATGTGGAACCTAAGGTGTTAATCAGAGGAGCATTGTGTAAAAAGGCTGGTTGATCCTGTCTTCTCTGACCTTCCCCTTTGTCCACAGTCCCCAATCAATTTGCTGATAGCACAGAACCCTGGGAGACACTCTGCACATGCTCAGCTTGATGTGTATTGCTAGAGAGGTTTTTTCTTGGGGAAGGGGGGGGGGGGGGAGTGTAAGGAAATATATCTTATTTAACTGGCATCCATTTTGTATAATGCCTCCTTTTCTAGATGTGTAAACAGTTCGTTTTGGTTTTGAATTTCGCTTGTAACTCCTCTCTCATTTCCTGAGTCTAGTTTCTACTCTCAGTAAACGGAATCAGCTTCTATGGTACTCATCAACCATTTGTAGTTTCTATCTTTTTTGATAAGAGTATAATATTTCATTGGTCATTTTGGCCTAGTAACTCCTGTACTACTCTTGTATAATAGTGCATGCACGCGTTAAACTTTCAGAGGTTTAGCTTGTACACTTTGGTGTCTGGAGCATTATTTCTCCTGGATATAGAGGTTAAAAATAATTGAAGACAGGGCTACAGACAGAAATTGATTATATCAGGGAGGGTGCGTTTGATCTTCACAGGACCAATCAGCACTGTCCAGACAGAGGCTTAGGGGTAATGCAGCCTCATAGGACAGTCTTAGGAGAATGAAAACTCCTCCTACAAGCTTTAACCAGCACTTGGCCAAACACTGATATTAGTCAAAAGACTGCTATATACTGCTGATGAGAAAAGGTATTTAGCAGTTTATATATACTAAAATAATTGCATTTCCATGTTCTGTGCACTGTGGGAGACCAGATAGAGTGAATGCAGAGTCATGGATTTAGTAACACTTTAGGGTAAAAAAACTTTCTGTGTGCAGCTCCCCCCCTCATACTTACCTGACCCTGATGTCATTCCAGTTGAAGAATTATTTTTTTACATGATTCTTCTATGATTATTTGTAGTGAACAGTGATTACCTCATTAATATCAGTGCAGTGTGTGCCATTTCCAGAATAGCCAGGCGGACATGTGCCACATGTAAATCCAGATCCTGTTTTTGTGCAGGTAACTCCAGCAAAGCAGGGATTAGGTACACATCCGTTTTCAAAAGCTGTAACAGCAATCTGTAGGCCAGTGGCTTTTGTGTGAAGTCCTGAGGAAATATTGAAAGAAAAAGTTAAAGAAAAAAAATAGAAGCATTTGTGGGATCAGTTGGGGTGGGTTTTGCAGGTACCCAAGGTGAGGCTTGTAAAAAATATTAAAAATGGTTTTCTAAGTTTCTATCAGTATTGTTTTGTGGTTTTTTTAGTCCTGGAAATGTTATAGAGATATTTTGAAAAAGATTGTGTGATCAGAATTTCAAATCAGGCAGGTAAAACTGTAAACATATGTATTTTAAATGTGTAGTTAGCTGTTTGGGTGGCACTTCCCTCCATGCTTAAACGATCAACTTCCCAGCTTTTTATTTTAACCTTAATTTAGCGTATTATTAAAAGAGTTATGTCCAAAAAGTTAAATATTTCAAAATGCAGTTTGAATGTACTTATAAAATGCCCTTTCGAAGACCGCTATCACTGTACCCCATGCAGAAGTGGTGGTTTATGTATTATGTGTACTGAACATTGGCTAGAGTTTTAATGCAATTTCCTTAATGGTAAACAAATCAGGGGAAGTTCAGTGATAACTCTTAAAATACATGACCTCTGTTGTCATCTGATATTTACTTAACTTATTTTTAGGACTAAGAAATAAGGGTGCTACATCTTAGATCAGATGAGTCAGATCAGTTATAGAGCTGTCATTAGAAAAACATGGATGTTGAAATTGCTGACCTCTGAAAATACTAGTTGTCTTTCATCCATGCTGACTTACCACTTTTCAGTACTTTCCATTTCAATGACCCAAAGCATGTGTGCAAATAAAAACTTCTGAATTTCCTTGACTTTCCTGATCCTAATACTTAAGGTTGCTGATTTAGGAAGGTTTGAAGCCATTGTGTTGAGATAACAACAACCAGACAACTAGAATTTTATTAATAATAATAATAATTATTATTAATATTATTATTGTAGTCTCTTTTTTCGAGATAGCTTTACTTTTACAGAGTATTTTTGTTAAACTCAGTTATATAGTCCCAAATAGTAAACTCTGTTAATCTAATAGTAAAAATGCTGCAACAATTATTACTATTATTATTACGAAATTTAAAACCAAACAAAAACCTTGTTTTTGCAGAACATGGGAGTAAGCTAAGGTGTTTTGTGAGTGATGGCTGTGAAATAAAATAAAAAGCCCACTATGAAACTAATACAAGTTGAGCATAAATAAAGCAACTAATTAGAATAACTATTGTTATTGATAAATGGCTAATGTCGTTGGATGTCTGGCCATTGCTTAATATTTAAAGCCAAGACTGGACAAAGAATACACATTCACTGCAAAATCTGGTGTGTTTATTTAAGCGCCCACTAGGAATGTTATTTGTACAATTTTTAGAGAACTTTTTATTTTCTAAAACTGCTAAACTGCTGTTTGTCTTGTTCATTTTTATTATATAAAAATCAGTTACTTTCTGCTAATTTACAAATGCAGAAAAGGCAATTAGATGCGGAGTTGTTTCTGACTTGCACCCTTCTTCTCTCCTGAGAAAACACCAGCCTATTTAACCTAACTTGGAAAAAGGTGTTTTCTCTCTACCAATATATGTACACACAGCTCTAATAACTTTAGTGTAGAATGCCCATGAGACATTCTAAGAGATTTGTTCTGGCAGTTCCTCTTCCTGGTGTTCTACCTTTACTTGCTATGTCACTTTTAATGGGCAGCCTCATTGATGGGGGGGCCTTACTAAACAATATTCTGCTCCAATGTCTCTGTTGACCTCCTTATTCTCAGAACCCATGTATTTTCTTTCCATTCACTCAATGTTCAGTTATTGCCCAGATATACAGTATATCTTCTTGTATTTTCTTACATTCCCTCTCAGCTCTTAGCTGGCTATTTAGGACGTGCTATTAGCGTTTGGTTAGGCATAAAGAAAACTTCAAGGCTGAATGACAGCCAGCCTCCTTCCTGTTAATGGAGAACACCATTTTTTGAACATTTGACTGCAATCAAAAAGGCAGTGAAGCCAGGCAATGAAACACCTACTGAAGCTTGTGCTCCCCAGGAAGGGAGACACAAAGATCTACAAAGCCCATGCTTGTGCAGCAAATCTCAAAGTGTGATTTCCCATAATAGGTGTAACTACATGCCCAATGTGATATATATTTCCAAAAGTATTTACATACACATGAACTTTAATGGCATCCCAGTCTTGAGTTGGCCCACCCTTTGCAGCTATAACAGCTTCAACTCTTTTGGGAAGGCTGTCCTCAAGGTTTAGGAGTGTGTCTATGGGAATGTTTGACCATTCTTCCAGAAGTACATTTGTGAGGTCAGGCAGCAATGTCGGACAAGGAGGTCTGGCTTGCAGTTTCCACTCCAATTCATTTCAAAGGTGTTCTATTGGTTTGAGTTCAGGATTCTGTGCAGGCCAGTCAAGTTCCTCTACCCCAAACTTGCTCATCCATGTCTTGTCTTTATGGACCTTGCTTTGGGGACTGGTGCACAGTCATGTTGGAACAGGAAGGGGCCATCCCCAAACTGTTCCCACAAAGTTGGCAGCATGAAATTGTCCAAAATGTCTTAGTATACTGATGCCTTCAGAGCCCCCTTCACTGAAACTAAGGGGCCAAGCCCATACCCTGAAAAACTACCCCGCACCATAATCCCCCCTCCACCAAACTTTACACTTGGCACAATGCAGTCAGGCAAGTACCGTTCTCCTGGCACCTGCCAAACCCAGACATGTCCATCAGATTGCCAGACAGAGAAGTGGGACTCGTTACTCCGGAGAACACATCTCCACTGATCTAGAGTCCAGTAGCGGCGTGCTTTACACCACTGCATCTGACGCTTTGCATTGGTGATGTTAGGCTTGGATGGAGCTTCTCAGCCATGGAAACCCATTCCATGAAGCTCTCTACGCACTATTGTTGTGCTAATCTGAAGGCCACACAAAGTTTGGAGGTCTTGAGCTATTGACTCTGCAGACAGTTGGCGACTTCTACGTACTATGAGCTGACCCCGCTCTGTCATTTTACGTGGCCTACCACTTCGTGGCTGAGTTGCTATTGTTCCCAGTTGCTTCCACTTTGTTATATTACCACTAACAGTTGATCGTGGAATATTTAGTAGCAAGGAAATTTCACGAATGCACTTATTGCACAGGTGGCAACCTATCACAGTACCATGCTTGAATTCACCTGAAAGTGACCCATTCTTTCACAAATGTTTGTAGAAGCAGTCTGAATGCCTAGGTGCTTGATTTTATACACCTGTGGCCATGGAGGTGATTGGAACACTTGCATCCTATGATTTGAAAGGGTGTCCCAATACTTTTGGCAATATAATATACAGTATATATCAGAAATGACAGGATTGCTCATCTTGGCTATATGATGATCTCTGAGCTTGTCTGTGACCTGGTCCCCCTTTTATGGCTTGATCAGGGCTGGGACACTTGACTGATGGTGGGCATTTCTCTCCTTTTCCTCCCTTTGAGTCTTTTGTTGTCTCCTGCTTTCCTTGCTGCTTTCTGTTGTCTACCTGTTGCACTTGCTGCTGGTCCACCTGTTCTTTCATTGTACTTCAAACTCTCCTGCAGTCCTTTGTGGGTTTTTCTTCACTCCTGGATTCCTTCCTGAGCTCAAGTGCAAGAATACCTGCCCTAGTTATCAATTCAGGCACACGAAGGGGCATAACCAAGTGCATCCCTCCAAATGTGTCCATATCTCTGTAAAAGTACCATAGTCCATACTCTGCTAGTCTGTTGTAATTTTCATATTTGTTTCCTTGCTCATCTGAAATCTGGTTCTTGCCTGCTCTTCATTTTCCTACACTCTGTCACCTTTTTTACCCTCATCTCCCTGCATCTGTTTATGCCTATCCTCTGACCTGCCAAACAAACTGGTTTTGAATAGGGTTGCACCAATGCCGATACTGTGCATTTGCACGAGTACTCATGCAAATGCTCCGATACCTGAAACGCATACCTATGCGGTGCGATTTGAGCCCATACAAAATGAATGGATGGCTCAAATCGCACTGTGAAGAATCGCATGTGATTTGAACAGGAATGCGGTGCGATTTCTGTCTGAATTGCATGCAGATTCCCTGCAGATGCGGTGCATATTGTGCCATTCATTTTGTATGGCTGAAATTGCACCCGCAGGGAAACCACATGTGATCCAGACACTGTATTCCTGTTCAAATCACTTGCAATTCATTGATTTTGTATGGGCTCAGAAAGCACCGCAAAGGTATTGGTAATCGGTATTTACCATTCTTACAAAAATATTTTGATTAGCCAATTCAATACATATGCAGAATCTGTATCAAATGTTAATTTAGCAGAACATATTAAAGTCTGTTTTAAGTCAACAGAACACAGTACCCATTTCCTGTAATTCCTTTCATTATTTCACTAATGTTCTGTGTAATAACATGTCGTTTTTTGTTTTTTTTTATAATTTGCCTTCCGTCTGTCTTTTTGGCTCCGTTATATGTAGGTATCAGGGGAAATAACTAGTTTTCTGTTTTTTCCTTTTTGGCATCGGAGACTGAATGAGACAGTAATATTACTTTGTCTTGGCATAATGTGCAGTCAAAGGAAAACTAAAGATATTCCGCTAAGAGAAGGAATGAGCATCTTCTGCCAAAGCAGAACAACTTTGTGTCCACAGGCTAGCTAAATGCCAACCTACATCACTTCTGGATAGTTCACAACCACTTATTATTTCCTATTTGGTATCACCTTTAGAAATATGGCTTGTTTTCCATACACATTTCATAGCTGTCTTAATCTCTGGTTTAGTTGTTCCTGTAGTTTAATGTGGAATAAAACTAAACATAGAGCTGCTAACACCTGAGAAGAAAATACATCAAGACATACTAAATGTACCCAAGCGCAAGATTCCTGTGTTATTCATCATACCATCTCTGTAAAGCAAACACTAAGGTTGCTTTCACACATATCTGCTTATGGTGCATTCTTAAGTTAAAGAAAAAGCGAAAGAGAATTGCATCCCTTGAAATCCCGTGTAGCTCTTCACACTGGACATTGCGGTTAAAAAAAATCCTGCTTGCTGGATTTTTGGTGCATGTTTGATCCTGTAAAAAAATTCACCAAAAACACATCTCTTCATTGAAATGAATGGAAACTGCAGGAAAAATACATCCAGAACACAACACACTTGTATTGTTGTTCACTTTTTCACAAGTCCCGCTTTACAGAATTGCATGACAAGGGATATCACACTATATTCAAAGGTGCCCTTCTAATCAACTCAGCACAGTGCAATTTTATTATTATTATACAGGATTTATATAGTACCAACATTTTGCTCAGCGCTTTACAATATAACGGGAGATGATACAGCAACAATACAGTTCAATACATGAGGGATAGGAGGGCCCTGCTCCTTGGAGCTTACAATCTAGGAGGGAGGGGCTAGTGGTACAAAAGGTAGTAACTGTGGGGGATGGACTAGTAGGAGGAGTAGAAGATTCCATTATTAGCTGAGGGCAGGATAGGCTTCCCTGAAGAGATAGGTTTTCAGAGATCGCCTAAAAGTGAGCAAAGTAGGCGATAGTATGATACATTGGGGTAGAGAGTTCCAGAGGATAGGGGAAGCTCTGGAGAAGTCCTGGAGACAAGCATAGGATTTTAGAAAAGGTTTCTGGTGGACCTCAGTGCGAATTCAGCCCCAAAGATTTCTAACTCACAGAAGTTGCATCAGCATAGATAAGTATCATTCCTAAACAACACTGAATGGATTCAGTGTTTTTTTTAACCCTCACCTCTCCTCCCAGGTCAGCCTTCATCCATAGATTTTGATACAGCTGTGATTTTGGAGCCTTCCTTTGATCAAACGACCCTTCCTTCGATTAGTCTTTCCTTTGATCAATCATTTCTTCAATTGATCTATCCCTCTCTTGTTTATTTTCAGGTACTTATATAGTGTTGTCAATTTACGCAGTGCTTTACTTCTATATTGTACATTCACATCAGTCCCTAACCCTCAAGGGGCGCACAATGTAAGGTCCCTAACTTACATTCATACATACTAGGTCAAATTTAGACAGGATCCAATTAACTTACCAGCGTGTCTTTGGAGTGTGGGAGGGAACAGGAGTACCTGGAGAAAACCCACGCAGGTACAGGGAGAACATGCAAACTCCAGGCAGGTGGTGCCGTGCTTGGGATTCGAACCAATGACCCTAGTACTGCCAGGCGGAAGTGCTAACCATTTAGCCACTGTGCTACCTCAATCATTTGATCAACCTATCCTTCAATCGATCAACCCTTCAATCGATTGATGGAGCCTTCATTTAGTTGATCAATTGAAAGAAAGATCGATCAATCAAAGGAAGGATTGATCATTCAACAGAAGGATTGATCGACAGATGAATCATTCGATTGACAGAAGGATCAATTGATAGATGGAAGGATCTATTGATTGGTGGAAGGATTGATCGGTCGTTAGAATCATTCGATCAGAGGATGGATCGATCAATGGAAGGATTAATAGGTCGATGTCAGTGGAAAGATCATTTGGTCAGAGGAAGGATCAATCGATGGAAGGATTAATCGATCAATTGACGGAAGGATCGATCAGTTGATAAAAGGAATTTTTAATAGACTGAAGGATTGATTTTTCGTCTGAAGGAGCGATCGATTAAGGGAAGTCTCAGTTGATCAACGCAAGGATTGATTGATCAATTGAAGGAAGGAAAGAAAGATCAAAACCACTTCAGTGTGCAGCTAGGTTTTAGGCAGCAAGATTAAGGGAGGAGAGGTGAGGATTGAAGAAAACACTGATCCATCAAAGTCGAATAGAAATGTTTCTTATCTATGCTGATGTGACTTCTGTGAGATAACATAGAAGTCTATGAGGCTGAAATTGCACCGAAGTCAGAATATAATGTGATTTCTCTTGTCAATTCTGTGAACCCAGGCTTGAGAACTTCTAAAGCCGCATTGAAGTCTCATCAAAATCGCTCAATAGTCACACTGGAAATCACATGAAAATTGCATTTGAATAGTGGGAAACATGGTGAAAACTCAAAGCAAATGTGGCAAAATTGCATCAAAAATGCACAATGCATTGCGTTAAAATTTAACGCAACATGGGAAAAACACAGCAAAAACTCATATGCGTTCTTTATGCATTTTTCATACAGAGTAATGTGAAATTAGCCTAATATACACAAAGGATTATATTAACTGTCCATGTAGAAGCAGATGTCATACATTGCCCAATGCTTCTTCAGTTGACAAACTCTAATCTTCATGGCTGCATATCAAGTAACCCAGATTTCCCCTTTTAATACCTACACCTGACGTAGTTAGACCATCTGACTCATTCACTGGAATACCTGAATCTAAATACCTTCCTCACAAATTATCTTTTCCTACAAATACTTCACTGCCAGTTACCAACCATTTCTGTACCAATGACCAACAAGTTCCCATATGTTTCTCATCAGTAAACCTCATTTTTAAATATACTTTCATGTCACAGTACGAGCATTCACTTACCGCAAGCATCACACTCCATTACTGTGTTTTTCAAAAATGTTATCTCTTTTATCTATAAAGCAGAAAAAAAGATTTTCATATATTAACTTAGATTTGTAATTAAATGTACATAAAAAAATGTTAGTAAAGTGTTAAACTAGCAGATTTAGAAGGACTAGACTAAGAAATTGAATTTGTGCTCCAGCTAACACTTTATAAGCAGTTAAATAAATTTTTTCTTTTTGGGGTAACGGTTTCATGTAAATGAATAAAAGCTGCATCTCACCATTTGCTGGGAAGACACATTCAAAGAGTGCACAATGTACTTGAACAGTGCAGTGATTGGAACTGTGACGCTCAAAAGACCACCCTAGGTTAAGTGATTTTTGGAGTTCCTTTCTCCAGGTTAAGGGAATTCAAGACAGCTCTTTCTCCTCTCAAATCTCATGTAACAACTCAAACGAGACACCAACTCTGAAAATGAAATTTATCATCGCCACTTGCAAGCACCCTTGTCAGTGTTAAATGGTTTGTCTCAACCCTCTAACTGCAACTTCTGTTAAAGGAAATTGAAAAATACCAGACTTACTGACTGGATCACTGTGTAAAAATAAAAAGTTATGGAACGTCTCCAAGAGCACTTTCCATATTGCTGGGAACCCCACTTGATCAATTACCTCAGAATTAAATTGATACCTTCTTACTCTTTCCTGTTCTCTACTTACTACACTTTGCGTACTCTGATTTCACTTATGCATTCCTGGCAAAACCCTTCTCTCTCCTGGGTAGGGAGGATGTATGCCATCAAAAATGATGATCCTTCCTAAAGCCCTCTACTATTTTCACATGCTACCAGTGGGAATGCCCCTTCTTTCTTCCTCTCCTCTCCTGCAAAACCAGATACTCAAATAATTTGGGCCAAGAAACACTCCAGAGTCCATAGATCCACTCTCTATGTCCATAGGCTGCAAGGTGGCTTGGGGGTCCTTAATATTTTTAGATACTATGCAGCAGCACAGATCTCCCAGTTGGCTATGCTTCACTCAGTCTCAGATGTCCCTCGCTGGGTGTTGCTTGAATTGCCCAACTGTGATTCATCTTCAATAAAGGCTTTACTCTGGCTTCCCCACAAATTACGGCCCCCTTCTGAGGATATGGGATTTGGTTCGCTACTTGGGTAATTTGATATCCTCTTTTTTTTTTTTTTTCCTGCTACTTCCTATCATTTACAACCCCTTTTTCCCCCAGGCTTGGAGGAGCCTCGAGTGTTCTCCTGGTGGCTCTCCATGTGTGTTTAAAACTTCTTTACCGCCTGCTCTTTTCCATCCTGGGAGGCCATCCGAGAGACGCATGAGGCCCCAGCCAAGGATCACTTCTGTTTCCTCCAGTTAAAGCACTGAATTGTTGCTCTTTGCCACACATCCACCCACCCATATCGAAAGACCTTCTTTGAACATGGCTGTCAGCATGCCCTGGGGTCCCCTGGCCATCTATGCATCCTTAAATGGACGCCCGTCATCAGTATCCCTCTATTATATGTCTCAGTGGGAGTGGGAACTCCAGGCCCCCATAGATCTGGAGAATTGGGGTAAGGCTTGGAAAACAGTTAACCAATGCTCTTTCAACACAAATATGTTTGAAGCTGTGTATAAGGTTCTTTTTAGGTGGCACTGGGTCCCTTCCTGCGTCACCCATGCTTACCCCAGGTGTAGTGACAGATGTTTTCATAATTATTGTCAACAGGGGGATGTCCTGTATATCTGGTAATCTTGTCCAAGATTAGTGGGGTTCTGCTCCAGACCCTGTTCCATCTAACGGTCTGCAAAGATGCAAAGTTGGCCCTATACCATTGTTCAATACCCAGCTTATACTCACCACAGCAGAAGCTGGCTACTTATATTTTTATTTCAGCCAAATGGTAACCATAGCCCAGGCCTGGAAGGCCACGCGCAATGCCTTCCAAGGAGTGAAGACATGCATGACTGCTATGATGCTCTATGAGCAGATGTCCAGTATTCTGAATAACTCTCACTCCAAATTTCTCAAGGTCTGGGAATCATTGATCCTTTCCCCTTACTCCAACTGGCCTGCTTAGTCCTTTTGTGACTGCTTCCATCAGAGACTCCGAGTCTATGTCTCCTTCCCCCCCCTTTTTTCTCTTTACTATGATCCTTTCTTCTTACCCTCTACTCTCCTTCTGGTTCCTTTCTATTCTTGTTCATAAAGTTGCTGTCCCATGGTAGAAAATAAAAAGCCTAAAAAAAGAAAACAAATGCAGCCACCACATCTTAGAATTGGTAAGCTGCAATTTATTAAATTTTAGTTTTTAAGTTTAATACCACTTTGTTAGAGTGAGTTAGGATGGTAGATTTATTATGGACTAGAGTGAAAGTCTAATTCCATACATTGTTGTATGAGAAGCTAAAATGTTCATTACCATAAGGGTATCAATGGCATGCTGTATGCATTTCTGGCAATAGATAAAAAGTGATCTATAAGAAGAATAATTACAGTAGGAATAATAATGTAGATGTACAACAAATATTTGTATGAAATATAGGACTCCTGTTCTGTCCATTAGTGTCTTAAAATCGATGAATGCATATCTTGGAGCAAATATGATTAATAAATGATGAATCATGTTTACACAGTCTTCTTCAGCACATTCTTCAGACTTCAAATGTGCTAAAATAATCATACCCATTTTCTTGGTATTTTGAGACTGATTTTCTACTCATTATGTCATACTGCACTGACACAAACAGTGGCCACCCATTCCTTACTGAACAAAAACCTCCTGCTTGCTCTCTTTACAAAAGCCTACCTTCATTGTGCCATACGTTAAACCTTACATGCCAAACATAAGATTCCTACATCCTGATTTATCCCCTGAAAACTGTTGTATATTTTAAATTAGAAACTGACCACATCACAGCACTAGAAAAGCTTACATTTGCAAGTAAGTTTGCCCTTCCGGACTGCCACATATGTTTTTATTTCTGACATGTTTCACTCCCCTAACTGAACAATGGATTTCTTCCCTAATGTAAAGTCAAGCCTTAAAGGATAAGGTCACCTTTGGGAACATGTTACATGTTCCACCTGTTTATAGGGTGGGACATGTACCATGTTCCCAATCCTGGCTGCCCCTCCTCCCTGTGACAGAAGAATGGGGAGAAGTCCCCCCTACAAGCTGTTACTTTAAAAGCCACGGGGTCATGCAGGGCTCTGCCCACACAACCGCATTCATTCTTGGAGTTCTGTGAATGAATGAACTACAAGTCCCGACAGCCTTAGCAGCTGCGGCTTGTAGTTTATTGATTCTTCCTCTCAGTATATTTACTTGCTCGTACATCCCGTATGGCAAGCAGATATAATAACAGGTCTGCAGGAGACCTGCATGGCGCAAGTGATCTGCTGATCATTGGTGTAATGCTTTACAGGCTCCTGCAGCCAAAAATGATAAATGCCCATTATTTTACCTGCAAAATAAGCGTGCATTTATTATTTTTATGTCAAAAGGAGAATTTATCCATTTAATACGTCTTCTTCATTCAGTTGTTTCTCATGATCATATTCCTTTTCTCTCCTTATCCTTTATTCCTGCCTCAACACCTTTTAACCTATTGCTTTTCATTAGTGATTATTAATTAGTGTCTGCACCAACTGTACCTAATATCAGTCTAAATGGAATATAGGCTGCAGTTACTAAAAGACAAATAGTCTGGAATTCAAAATTTAAAAAATGTAACTGCGCTCTCTAAGGACCAATCTCTATATACACGTATGATCAATTACAAGTGAACAAATTAATCATGTAAACATAGGTGTTTCAAATGGATCAATAATCAAAATTGTCAAGATGGACATCCAATGATGAATTGACACTGAAAAGCATAAGTTGTGGTTGGGATCGTGACGTCGCACTGCACAGCCTGCCCAGCTCACTGCTTGGTAACATCGCCAGAGTATGCAGCACGCATTATGACTGAGTGATTAATGCTAAGTGTCGGGTAGACACTCATGCATTGTAAGTGCAATTTTTTTATGTGGTCAATAAATGTTTAATGGTTTTACACTATAAGTGCTTTTCTCTTCCTGACATATATACTGTATGTGAGATGGGATCAGACCAAATGATTGATTCATGTGTGGTTGGAGAGGAAATTTGTATGTCTAGATTGGAAAGTTTGGATATATGGTTGTGCAGTTGACCCAACATTTTGTTCATTGCTTAAAGAGACTCACAAATATTGGAATGATGTACATACATTTTTTTTGTCCATGTATTTTTAAGACATTTCGGCCTCATGATTAACGGGTCCTTTAAATATAATTGTATAATAATCCTTTAAAGGGGTGTGTCCTATGCCTACATGCTTTCGGTAGTGTCCCTTGTTCCCATCTGAAAAAGTTGGAAGGTATGAATACCTATTGGAGTGGCCATCTCAGGTGGCACTCATGAAGGCACAGTTGGGAGTAGCACTCTGTCCTCTGTCTAGTAAAGATGAACATGATAAAATCATAGGCTCTGTGCTACTGAACTCCCTGCTGAGCCTGTCATTGAGCCAGGTGCAGCAATAAAGCCTTTTCAGTTATGTAGAGCCAGTTAAATAGTGCAGGGTCAGAGTCACTGAGCAAGGCACTGCCACTTACTGTGCCTGCCTGTGTGACCGGTACAGTGCTACCACTAGTCAAGTTGTCCATCTTTGCCATGGAGAAATGGCAAAAATGGCCACCTGGGACAGCATCTGGCACCAAAGCTCTGTCTTTTACCCCAGCTCAGTACCTCTGGTCTTGGGTGGTTTATGAACTTATTTAGATTCTATTCTTGATAATATAGAAAAGACTCTCTCTATCTGGTTTTCCTGACTGTCTCACTGATCGTTTTTTTTAACCTTCAAACCTTTAATGCACCCTTAAGGTATTTAATGACTTAGAGACAATGTCTCAATTAGGGCAAAGTGACAGTGCCTTTATAAAGAACCTCTTTGATCCAATTGTATTCCCCTTGCCAGCACTCCCTCACCACTTCTGCTTCAATAATTCCCAGTGCTTCGGGTATAGGAGGAGCACTTGACCTCTTCTCCTGTGACAATGTCCGAGTCTAAGAGCCAAGCGCTAGGCCCAAGCACAGTCACATGGCTGAGGAAGTGGTGTCACCACTCCCATTAGACTCTGACACCAACTAGACTTGTGTGGTTTGTTTCGTTCTGAATTTGAATTCGGACAAATTTTTCATTATTCAAATATCTCCGAATTTCCGAATTACAATACCGGTAGTAATGAATCTGAATTCAAATTCGGACAAAATTCAAATCAATTTCAACTCAAATTTGAATACGAAAATAATAGAACTGAACATAAAAGAATAGATTAGAATAAAATGGAAAAAAGAATAGTCAATAGAAAAGAATAGAATACAATATAAAATAATAGACTAGATTAGAATAGAATATAATAGAAAAGAATAGAATACAACTGTCTTCTGAAATTAGAATTTTGAATAGAATAAAAAGAATAGAATAGACAATAAAAGAATAGAATAGAAAAATTAGGAGGGGCACGTGGCCTCTTCTCCTGTGACAATGCTTGGGTCTAACAAAATTTCAAATAGAATAAATTTGACTAGATTAGAATAGAGAAAACAATAGAATTCAATAGAAGATAACCGCCTGCCGAAATTCGAATTTCAAATAGATTAAATTTGAATTAGAATAGATTAGAAAATAATAGAATATAAGAGAATAGAATAGAAAAAAAAAAAAATAATAGAAAATTGAATAGAATAAAATAAAATATAACCATCTTCTGAATTTCGAATAGAATAAATTAGAATTTGAATTAAAAAACAAAACATAACAAAATGAATTCTGAAAACGAAATAAATAGATTTAACAAAACAAAATTATTTAAATAACAAAGCGAAACAAAACAAATTTTTTTGTTTCTGCACATGTCTAACACCAACTGACACTAGACATTTTAGTACCAGTTATGCCAGTACCAGGAGAAGCCAGGGAGCACTGGCAACTTGAGTATCAGGGGTTTGTGGGGCCCATGGGGCAAGGTGACAGTGTCTCTTTGAGCCTCTGTAACCCTTTTTTTACACACTTCCTTTGTACAGTTTCACAGAAGATAATAATATAAACTACTATCATCGATAATTTTGCCTAACAAATGAAACGGAAATGAGTTCTATCAAGAATTACACACTGGGGACCAATGTAACTGTCTGCTCTGTCTCTTGGTATAAGTCTTACTAACATCATATATGTAATTCGCATAGAACTGATTTTTTAACTTTTGGTTTGATTAACCCTTTAAGCTGTTTATCATATCTTCTGTGTTTACGTTCTTGTTTGACTTAATTTCCCTTTATATTTCATTTTTTTTTCATGTACACATTTTCATTATTTAAAATTAAAATAACAAACATGTTGTACTTACCTTCTCCGTGCAATGGTTTTGCACTGAGCAGCACCAAACCTCCTCTTCTGGGATCCTCCGCCAACGCTCTCCTCTCCTCCCCTTTTCTCCATCTGCCCCATAGCAATTTGCTTGCTATGGAGGCAGATGTGTGTGACTATAGACATACATAGTGTGGCTTGGCCCTGCCCCCCCCACTACCTCACTGGATTTCCCAATGCTGCTGCTGCCCCCATGTCCAGCGAGGAGAGAGAGAATGGAGAGCCTACTGTTCTCACTCACAGTGCTGTATCGAGATTTGGTAGAAATGTAGGGGGGACTGGGGAGGAACAATATTTGAAAGATTTTTTTTTTTATCTTAATGTGGAGAAAGAAAAAAAAAACTAAACTTTAGCCTTGAGAATCATTTTCGCTTCTTAATTTCTGTTTTCTAGAATTGTAAAGTGAATACTGAATGCCTAATTTACTTCAGAGTTCTATTTTCCCATGCAGTACAGCTGAACTATTCTAAATCCACTACAGATAATAGTCAAGGGGATTACCATTTCCAACGGCAGTATGTTATACTGTATATTCCCCTGACTACTCAGGAGAGAGCTTGCTACAGCAATATACAGTATATTCTAACATATTTTTTTTGTTATGTATGCAAGCATTCACCTTAGGGCAGGACTGCAGAGCACATTCCCCTTCTCCTTATCTCCTTACCATAAAGGAGGCGGATGCTTCGTGGTTCACAGTGGTGAGCTGGGCAGGTCTATTAAGATTTTTTGAGTTAACACTATAGGGTGGTGCACAAGATGCAGGGCAGCACTGGATTTTTGGCAGGATCAACATGTATTTTTGTTTTTTTTACACTTATCAAACAGAAAAAAACAAAACGATTTTGGAAAGATATTTGACATACTGAAAGGGAGCAAACATAGTGTGGATTTACATACACCAATACATACAACCTTTAACCACCAATGAGTGTCCATGATGGCTAAGTCTAAATGTTTGCCTGGCTGAATGGATATTTTATTTTAGAAAACACCACTCTAGCTATGTGGTCTTGCCTGAAGAGTCAAGGTGTGATAAACATGAAAAAAGAAATATGTAAAAAAAAAAAGGTTTTGTTTTTTTTCCTGGAAAAAGCTTTTTACCCATCCTACACTGCCCTGCACTAAAAACATAAAGGCTAAGTCCACCCTTTAATAATAATAATAAATGCATAGATTATTTTTCTGTTTCTGCAGACTCCAGCTCCTTGGGATCTGTAGTTTATTTACCACCACTCTCACAGAGTCACTGAGACTCTGCAGGTGATGTAACATGTAACAAGCTCTAAAAGGTTTAGTTATCCTTCAACCACTTCAGCTTCAGAAGATTTACCCCCCTTCCTGACCAGGCCATTTTTTGCGATACGGCGCTGCGTTACTTTAACTGACAATTCGGCAGTTATGCAACACTAAAATAATGTCTTTTTTCCCCCACACAAATAGAGCTTTCTTTTGGTGGTATTTGATCACCTGTGTGGTTTTTACTTTTTGCGTTATAAAAAGATTAACAATTTTGAATTTTTTTTTATTTTCTACTATAAAACATATCCAATATAAAAAAAATTTTTAAATCTATTTCTTCATAAATTTAGGCCAAAAAGTATTCTGCTACATATTTTTGCTTAAAAGAAAAAGCCCAATAAGCATATAGTTTGCGCATACGTTATCATGTTTAGAAACTATGGGACATGTACTGGAATTAAAAAATTTTTTTTTTATACTAGTAATGGCAGCTATCAGCAACTTATAGCAGGACTGCAATATTGCGGCGGACATTTTTACATGAACTGACACTTTGTGGGAACCAGTGACACTAATACAGTGATCAGTGCTAAAAATATACACTGATTACTGTACTAATGACACTGGTTAGGAAGGGGTTAACATCTAGGGTGATCAAAGGGTTAAGTGTGGGCCTAGCTACAGTATGTGCTTGGTGTATATTAGATGGCGCTGGTACAAGAGGAAGTGATGGATCGTATTCCCAGCTCTGCAGGGACATGATCAATCACTTTCTCCTGTCACAACAGAGCTGTGCCTATGTAAACATAGGCCCAAGGATCTGTGGGTGCCGGTGAAGATCTGTTTGCTGGGACTTACAGATCATCTTCTGCTGTGACAGTTCACAGCAGAAGCTATCTGCCAGTGCAGCGCATGCGCCCACATGAGGCATGAGTGCAAAATCACATATATACATAATGTTGCACAGGAGAGCTGCCCTGTATAAGTAAAACTGATATAGGGTGGTTGTAAAGTGTTAAATCTGAAGTTCAACACAGCTTGTTCTGCTGCATTTTCATATAATTTTCAATACTGCTTTTTCAATACTGCCCCACTTTCATGTAATCTGAGCTGTATTGAAGTGCATTAGGTTGTCATTGTTTTGTAGTATGCTGACATCTAGTTGTCATTTTAGGCCACTACAACTTGTTTACCTGTATCTTAGTAGCTTCGTCTGACCTCCCCTCCTATTTAGTGCTAGTTGGTTTAGTTCTGTCTAGACCCTCCCCACTTATTCCATGTTCCTTCAGTCAGTGTTATCTATTCAGAGACAGGACTCAGCAAAGTCATTGCCTTCTTACACTTCACAAGACTGGAAAGACATCCTCTGTACTGCAATAAGCTGAAGTAAAGTTGCATTTGATTTAACAGATGTGCTTTTTAATGAAGAGTTAAGCTGCCTGTGGATGGTACCAAGTCAACAGGTGACCTCATTTTCTGGACCGACTAGTTCTAAGGCGATACATTATAATGCACAAAGCAACATTTTAAACAGAACATATTGTTCACATATTGGGAAAACATAAATATATACAAATTATGTGGTCCACATAAAAAGATTTATTACGTTAGTACTAATTGTATTGATTCTGATAGGAATTCATGAGTATGTACTTTAAAATGTATTGTTTAGCATCTGTGCATTTCATATCTTTTTAAACAGTTGCTAATTACCTGTTGTTTTAGGAGTTCCCGGACGTCTTTCAGCACAAGATTGGTTTCTTTCATCTCTGCAAGCATTTGAGGACCAACATCACCTAAAATAATAATGGTTTATTTTAGCCATTAGTACATTAAGAGGGCATTCACTTTAGGTCTTTTGGTAGAACCAATGTGTAGGAAGGATTACTGTTAGCGAACAGGGGTGGCAGAAGTGCTGAAACACATGCTCTCCCTGTTTTTGTTAAGGAGACATGACAGAATTCTAAAGCGTGTCTTTAGATAAATTCTCCAGTATGTTTTCTAAAGAGAGCATAATTGCAACTGTATCCTTCCAGACCGTCTCTTAGAATTTAAAAACCTGTGGGAGTTGCATGAGTGGGGAAGGGATTTGGGAGTCATTCCTCTGACAAACTCATATACTCTGTATGTGTGTAATCTAACATGGAACTACTATTTTAAACCAATGTTGTCTTTTCAGCAGAGAGGCTAAGATTAGCCTGGTAGATGTGAAATGGAGTCTATACCTCAAAATGCTGGCTGGCTGAAAATCATAAATATGAAATACTCAGATTTAAATATTTCCTATTTATCTGATAAGAAATTAAAAAAAAGATTAGGTTTTAGTCCAGAGCATAAAGTATACACAAAATACTATACATTGCCTTTAAAGACCAATTCTAGCTTGGGCAAAAAAAGAAAAAAGGAGACCCCCAGCAGCTCTTAAAAATAAAAGCACAGCTCTGGCTGCTATGCCCACCTTTTCTATGGTGTTGTCCCCAAAAGACTCACCGGCTTACTGATCCATCGGTCCACTTTTGAGTTGAATGACATCCAACCTACTTCTTGTGAACCCAGGGCATATCATGGCTTTTCCCTCTGCCCCAGAGTCCCAGGAAAATTCTGTAGAGAGCTGGCAACATCATTGTTCAGCAGCATTTCATACATGTGTGAGAGAGATCAACTTAAAATAGATTTTGACCCAGAGGTGAACTTACTTTTTTTTTTTTTTTAATTAAAACAACTCCAGAAATTGCCTGAAACACCAGGCATGCCAGTTCTTATCTCCATGCCAAGGGGACAGGAAACATGCAGCTGCCTGCCAGGTTTATACCTGCTGGCCTTCCCTTCAGCATTAAGGGAATGTTTCTTTGAGAGGGTTTTCCTAAATAGTGTGCACCCATCCAAAAACACCAGCGCCCAATGTTCACGTTAAGAGGATCCCAGACCTGGATCAGTTTTATGTGCATAGGGAACTTTCCCTGTGAGATCAGTAATACAAGACTATAGTTGGTATTTGCCCAAATGGGCAATGATGTAATTCTCTATATTTCCAAACATGGGCTACTGATCATCAGGCAGGTGGCATATAAGCCCCCTTACCGAAGATGGCGACAATTGCAACGCTCGTTAGTATCTGGCACCTATGCTTTTGGAGGAGTGCATGCCTATTTTGGGAAAAAATTCTAAACGCGTTCCCCCAAAGATGAAAGTTACGGGGCTAGTATCAACAGCGCTGTTTGACCCAACAGATGGCTCATGCTCTCATCTGCTAAGTGAGTTGTAGAAAACTTGTTACAAGCGTATATACCAATGATTACATCACAATGCATACATTCTTTCTTTCACTTTCTATACACTCAAAAGGCTTTCTAAACCCTGCAAAATATAACCTTGGAATAGCAGCTGCAGATAAAGGTTCTAGCTACAAGCTGGTACATATCTCTCACAGGAAATAAGAGAGGGGTGGGAAAATGAGCTGAAAACCTTGCTTTTACAAACACAGGCTGCTAGAAGTGTTAGAGTTTAAAGGGGAACTGGTTATTTTAATTTAAATTTTTTTATTTTCATTTGTTAAAACAATTGAAAATAAAAAAACCATAGCATTTTGGGCAAACATGATTTAGTAACGATGACATCTGCCCTTTTTTGGTTCATGTGAAATGTAAATTAATGATAAGTCCACTTTGACATTTACAAGGTATTACAAACCACACTTTATCCATTCAGCAGAAACTAGCTAGTACACAGGCTCAAGTCACTATATAGGTGCGTACTCCTGATTTTTTTAATGCAGTACTTAAATATTGCAAAAGTCTTTTTGTCACTTTATGTTCAAATTCCAGGTCAATACTATACAAATCTGTGGTGAAATATGTTCCTATACAATTGAAGAGCAATCATACAAACAGTTGGAGGTACTGTGCAGGTGCACTGTAGCCCTTTATGCTTTTTTACATTCAAGAAAGACAACAGATTACAGCAGACATTATTGCTGATTTAAGCCCAGCATCTATTTTTCTACTCCTTTCCACTTGTTTGCAAGTGAACAGTGCATAATGGCACATTACTAATGATCTGGTGAGTGCTTTCAAGCAGCCATGTAATTTAGTGCTATATAGCAAATCAACCTGTAATTTAGTTATCAAGATAATTGCTATTCTGGCATTATTCCGAAGGTTAGGAACCACTGTTCTGTTGTTCAACTGGTTGCAAGTACCATCAAATATTTGAGATTTCCCCTTGGGTATCATTAAAAATGTTTTTCTTGGCATAAATACATTTTACATAGTTTTATTGCATGCGTTTAAAAATGGTTTCTACAGGAAGATTGAGACAGTGATAATGGGAATTTTATGTTGCTTTCTAAGAGAGTAACGCTTCCGCTAACCAGAAAATGTTTTTCTTTTTACACATAAATGTCTATCCAAATGGAAAGTACAGTTGTGACTAAAAGAATAGGAATGGGCAGAAAAGTGTATTAAATATACATAATAATGGCTTTGGCTACTGATTTAAACTTGACTATGATTTCTAGAAAACTGTATTTAACATTAATTCTGTTCTCTGCACCTTCACACCTCAGCTCACCCCAGTTCCTACAACTTAACAATCCAGTACTCAGCGACAATTCCTGTGCCTTCAGGCCTCAGAAAAGCCCCAATTCCTGAACCCCCAGAACTCTGATCACAATTTCTGCACTTTCACATCTCAGATCACCCCATTTCCTGCACCTCTAGACCTCATATCAGATCCAATTCCTGCACTTTCACAAATCAGATTCCAATTCCTGCACCTCCAAGCCTCAGATCACCCCAATTCCTGCGTCTTCACACCTCAGATCAGTCCCAATATCTGCACCTTCACACCTCAGGTTACCCCAATTTGTGCATCTCCGGACCTCAGTTCACCCCAATTCCTGCATTTTTACAACCCAGATCAGTCCCAGTTCTTGTTCCTTCAGGCCTCAGATTAGTCCCCATGCCAGCATTTTCACACCTCAGATCAGCAAACACCTGCACCTTTACATCTCTGATCATCTCCAATTCCTGCACCCTTACAGCTCATATCACCCTGCAACTTCTACAGCAACAATTCCTGTACTTTCAGGCCTCAGATCAGCCCCAATTCCTGTGCCTTCAGGCCTCAGATCAGCCCTATTCCTGCTCCTTCAGGCCCCATGATAAGCCCCAATTCTTGAATCCCCAGAAATCTGATCACTATTCCTGCACCTTCACAACTCTGATCACGTCAATTCCTGCACCTCAATGTCTCAGATCAGCCCCAATTCCTGCACCTCAAGGCCTCAGATCAGCCCCAATTCCTGCACCTTCACAGCTCACATCAGCTCCAATTTCTGCACTTTCACATAAGGTCATTCCCAATTCCTGCACCTCCAGACCTCAGTTCACCCCAATTCCTGCATTTTTACAACCCAGATCAGCCCCAATTTCTAGGCCTCAGATCAGTCTGAGTTCCTGCATTTATCCACCTCAGATCACCCAAATACCTGCACATTCACACCTTTGACTATCTCCAATTCCTGCACCCTTACAGCTCATATCACCCCAATTACTGCACCTTCACACCGCAGCCCACTCCAAATCCTGCATTTTCACAGCCCAGATCAGCCCAATTCCTGCACCTTCTGGCATAAATGAACCAAGCCATCTCCACATAGATGCTCCAGAAATGAACATTAGCCAATGCTCCAGTCAAGACAACACCTTCTGTAACATGCAATAGTACTGAGTCCCAATTACTGCAGTTCCTATTCATGATCATTTTTAGTTCCATACATACTCTGTCATTATTAGTGTATAGACACTTTTATGTGTTATTATTACCAATTCCCTTATTAATTCCTCTTTTATTATTATTTATTATTATTCTTAATGTTGTTTATAACATCAGTGCTTCGCCGATATTATTTACTGTATTCCACATTAGTAATGTCTTTTCTGTATAGCACTGCACCTTTAAATCCCTGCTGAGCGATGTTGTCCCACGATTGACAGCGTCTCCTATATTAGCTGAAACCTCTCCCAGCACCAATAGGCCAATAGAAGGAGCTAGAGGCTCTGAATGCGTAGCCTGCTTGTCCCATGTCTGTATCTTCAGATCCTGCTGACTCTCCGCTTCTTTCTTCTGCCAGTGCACTCCAGGCTGGTTGTTTCCTTTATTTTGTCTTTGTATATAGAAACCATCTGTGCTTCAAGGATGGTTGCCTCTAATTTGTGATAACCTTTGGGTTGATTGCCTAAGAGACTTTTAATAGACTCCTTGTGCACTTATGAATATTATACATTTTATGTCATTGCCATCTACTGCATTAGTTTATATACATTTATATTTTCCATATATAACTTCATCTCTATGCGCCAGAATCACCTCTTTACTGAATGCACAAAAAGTGACTGTGAACAGTCACGGATAGCTACAGCACCTGGTAACCTTTCATTATAGTGTACTATCCAGGCTTGGTGGCTGCAGCTAACTGCTCACTGGTGTCAAAAACAGCAGCAGGAATCTACAGATTCCTGCCACTACCATTCGCACTGTGGCTGCATGCTCCTGTGAATGTAGCCTAAACTAGTAGTTACCAATAGCTGTTATGTCAGAAAAGCCTGGCCATGAGCCGGCTCAGGCTAAAAGAGTGCTGTATCACAGAGGAGGAACAATACTGAATATAATTACCCTTTCAAAGTGAGAACAAGCAGCCTGGGGAATCTGACTCGATTCAGCTTCAGTGTGCAGAGCACAACGCTGGAATCAACACCAGCGGAAATAGAGGTGGGCGGGCACCAGCCACGCTGCC